CTGCTCTCCACCACACCACCACCCTGGGGTGGGGCTCCACACCTGCTCTCCACCACACCACCACCCTGGGGGTGGGGCTCCACACCTGCTCTCCACCACACCACCACCCTGGGGGTGGGGCTCCACACCTGCTCTCCACCACACCACCACCCTGGGGGTGGGGCTCCACACCTGCTCTCCACCACACCACCACCACCACCCTGGGGGTGGGGCTCCACACCTGCTCTCCACCACACCACCACCCTGGGGGTGGGGCTCCACACCTGCTCTCCACCACACCACCCACCCTGGGGGTGGGGCTCCACACCTGCTCTCCACCACACCACCACCCTGGGGGTGGGGCTCCACACCTGCTCTCCACCACACCACCACCACCACCCTGGGGGTGGGGCTCCACACCTGCTCTCCACCACACCACCACCCTGGGGGTGGGGCTCCACACCTGCTCTCCACCACACCACCACCCTGGGGGTGGGGCTCCACACCTGCTCTCCACCACACCACCACCCTGGGGGTGGGGCTCCACACCTGCTCTCCACCACACCACCACCCTGGGGGTGGGGCTCCACACCTGCTCTCCACCACACCACCACCCTGGGGGTGGGGCTCCACACCTGCTCTCCACCACACCACCACCATCACCCTGGGGGTGGGGCTCCACACCTGCCCTCCACCACATCTCCAACATAACCCTGGGGGTGGGGCTCCACACGTGCCCTCCACCACACCACCACCATCACCCTGGGGGTGGGGCTCCACACCTGCCCTCCACCACACCACCACCCTGGGGGTGGGGCTCCACACCTGCCCTCCACCACACCTCCAACATAACCCTGGGGGTGGGGCTCCGACACGTGCCCTCCACCACACCACCACCATCACCCTGGGGTGGGGCTCCACATCTGCCCTCCACCACACCACCACCATCACCCTGGGGTGGGGCTCCACACCTGCCCTCCACCACACCACCACCATCACCCTGGGGTGGGGCTCCACACCTGCCCTCCACCACACCACCACCATCACCCTGGGGGTGGGGCTCCACACCTGCCCTCCACCACACCACCACCATCACCCTGGGGTGGGGCTCCACACCTGCCCTCCACCACACCACCACCATCACCCTGGGGGTGGGGCTCCACACCTGCCCTCCACCACACCACCACCATCACCCTGGGGTGGGGCTCCACACCTGCCCTCCACCACACCACCACCATCACCCTGGGGTGGGGCTCCACACCTGCCCTCCACCACACCACCACCATCACCCTGGGGTGGGGCTCCACACCTGCCCTCCACCACACCACCACCATCACCCTGGGGTGGGGCTCCACACCTGCCCTCCACCACACCACCACCATCACCCTGGGGTGGGGCTCCACACCTGCCCTCCACCACACCACCACCATCACCCTGGGGTGGGGCTCCACACCTGCCCTCCACCACTCCAACACCTCCAAGATACTCTTCAAACACTCGTCGTCCATCACTTCACATTTCCATGACTATTTTTATTCAAACTTGCTGTCTCCTCCGTGTCTAGTTACCCTCTGTTCAGGAGGAGGGGGGTGGGGGGGCGATGGGGTGGGGGGGGGCGATGGTGGTGGGGGGGGGGCGATGGTGGTGGGGGGGAGCGATGGTGGTGGGAGGGGGCGATGGTGGTGGGAGGGGGCGATGGTGGGGGGGGGCGATGGTGGTGGGGGGGGGCGATGGTGGTGGGGGGGCGATGGTGGTGGGGGGGAGCGATGGTGGTGGGAGGGGCGATGGTGGTGGGAGGGGGCGATGGTGGTGGGGGGGGCGATGGTGGTGGGGGGGGCGATGGTGGTGGGGGGGGGATAGTTGTTGATTGTGGTGGTGCTTACCTAACAGTGACTACGAGAGAAAGTCAGGTCTAGTTCTTCATCACCCTGCCTTACTAGCCTTATAAAATTCTTCTTACAGTTTGTGTTACGAGTTTAGACACCTGAGTTCTTTGTCGTATATATGGCTTAATATTGTGGTTGGAGGTGGCTTTCGCGACTTCTTCTTTCAGTACATTTAAGTGTATATAATACTGCTTTTCCGAATTTTTTTTTCTCACGTTTCGTGTCTTTGTATTTCCAACCTAGCACATACGCCCTCTTGCCCCATTTGTTTGTATATTTAAAGAGGTTGTCCTTGTGTACCTTGTCATTGGCCCCTCGGTATCTTGTATGTTGTGATCAAGTTTACTCTGCGATCGTCAGATACAGCATCGTGTCTTCAAATGTTGTTGTGTATCTCAGGAGGTCTGGAATCCATTCCGATGCTTCGGCTCGTAGTATTGAGCTCGCTTACACTAGCGTTAGTAATGACTGTGTTGGTGGTGATGGTGGTGGTGGTGATGGTGGTGGTGGTGGTGGTGGTGGTGGTGATGGTGGTGGTGGTGGTGGTGGTGGTGGTGGTGGTGGTGGTGGTGGTGGTGATGGTGGTGGTGGTGGTGGTGGTGGTGGTGATGGTGGTGATGGTGGTGGTGGTGATG